GTGAGCCACTGCGCCTGGCCTTCCTTGCCATCTTATATTCTGTACTCTTGTTGTTATCATTTCATTTACATTTCCGTAGTTTTCTTTTAAATTTTTCTCTCATATGAGACGTCTTTCCCCATCAGTTTAAGACTTATAATATTGAGACCTGTGCTGATACGGTAGCCACTAGCCACATGTGGTTATTGAATATTTGAAATGTGATTTTTTTAGGCTGGATGTGATGACTCACGCCTGTAATCCCAGCACTTTGGGAGGCCGAGGCAGGCGGATCACTTGAGGTCAGGATCATTGAGACCAGCCTGGCCAACATGGAGAAACCTCGTCTCTATTAAAAATACAAAAGAAAAAAAAAAATTAGCAGGGCGTAGTGGTGCCTGCCTGTAATCCCAGCCACTGGGAAGGCTGAGACAGGAGCATCGCTTGAGCCAAGATTGTGCCACTGCACTCCAGCCCAGGCAACAGAACAAGATTGTGTCTCCAAAAAAAATAAATTTGGTTTTTCCAAATTGATATGTATTTAAGTATAAAATACATGTCAGATTTTGAAGACTTGATTTGAAAAAAAGCCTATAAAATAGTAATGTTTAGCATTGTATATGGACAATGTAAAATATTAAAATTAATGCTACTTTTTTTAACTTTAAAAAATATGGCTAGAGCGAAACTCCGTCTCCAAAAAAAAAAAAAAAAATTCAAATGACATATGTGGTTCACCTTTATGGCTACCGTTATTTTTCTCTTTGGCCACACTAGTCTAGATTGTATGAAGAAGTAAAGTTGCTTTCTTCAGAAATGGTCATAATATAAACCATTTATTTAATAGACAAGTTTTAGCACATTTTAAAAAATGCATTTATGTACTTGGTTTCTAATATGGATGTAAACGTATAACCTTTCCATCCTTTGTAGCTGTTAATAAAACTGATAACTCAAAATTTATTTTATATTAATTACATTTATAGGATTATTTATAAATAATTGAACCAGAAGACAATTGAGAACTAGGCTTCTCCAAGTTCATTGTTGCGAAAAAAGCAACTGCGATTTTTAGGCAGCCTATAGAACATCATAAAAATAACGGGTTGTGGTTTAATGCATCTTCGGAGAAACCATCTTAGTAGCAAGTTTTTTTTCTAGTGTGCCATTTTAAGGAGTTGTTTTATTACTTTAAAGCTTAAAAATTGGCCTGGCACGGTGGCTTACGCCTGTAATCCCAGCACTTTGGGAGGCCAAAATGGGTGGATCACAAGGTCAGGAGTTCAAGACCAGGCTGGCCAACATGGTGAAACCCCATCTTTACTAAAAAATACAAAAATTAGCTGGGCATAGTGGCTTGTGCCTGTAATCCCAGCTGCTTGGGAGGCTGAGGTAGGAGAATTACTTGAACCACAAACCGGGAAGCAGTGAGCCGAGATCATGCCCCTGCACTCCAACCTGGCTACAGAACAAGACTCCATCTCAAAAAAAAAAATAGTGGGGTATTCTCAGACTTAACAGATGAACAGCGATGTGGCTTAATCTTATTTATATACTTCTCCTCACCCTAAAGCATTTTGAGAAGAAAAAATTCCTCAAATGAATCCCTTCCCATCCATAAACTATTATACTATCTACAATGCAGACCTCTCGCAAATAATTTTCCAAATAGGAAAATCTTTGTTCTGATCTTTTTTGTTTGTGTTTACTTGACAGCAATTATAGGAAGGGACATAGTAGACAAAGTATTTCTTTCTCTTCATGCCAAGTTTACTTCTACCTTTTCTTTTCTCTCCTTTTTTTTTGTGGCCTTTTACTTTATTTTGAGTTGACAATGTTAGGTTTTCCGCCTCCCATCTCCTCAGAGATATTATTAAGCCCCAAACCTAAAACATGAAGTCATACAAGAAGATGCACTTTTCAGTCTTTAAAATTAGTCTTCTCAGCCAGGCAAGGTGGCTCATCCCTATAATCCCAGCACTTTGGGAGGCTGAGGCGGGTGGATTGCCTGAGCTCAGGAGTTAGCAACCAGCCTGGGCAACACGGAGAAACCCCATCTCTACTAAAATACAAAAAATTAGCTGAGCTGGGCAGTGTGCGTCTGTAGTCCTAGGTACTCGGGTGACTGAGGCAGGAGAATTGCTTGAACCAGGGAGGCGGAGGTCACAGCGAGCTGAGATTGCGTCACTGCACTCTAGCTTGGGCATCAGAGGGAAACTCTATCTTAAAACAAACAAAAAAAATTAGTCTTCTCTCTTTGTCTCACAAACTCAAACTGCTGTGTTTAAAACAGTAAGGAGCTGTCCAAAGAAAAATGTTAGAGGTCTGTGTATTTCAGTAATTGTCATCAGCTACAACATTCTTTAGTGAACTAGGATTAAGGCTTTCTGGAGACTATTTGTTTGAGTGGCCATGAACTAAGTAATAAACACTGATGTGCCTGGCGCAGTGGCTCATGTCTATAATCCCAGCACTGTGGGAGGCCAAAGTGGGTGTATCGCTTGAGCACAGGTGTTTGAGACCAGCGTGACCAACATGGTAAAACCCCATCTCTATTGAAAATACAGAAATTAGCCAGGCTTGGTGGCGCACACCTATAGTCCCAGTTACTTGGGAGGCTGAGGCATGAGAATCACTTGAACCTGGGAAGCTGAGGTTGTAGGGAGCTGAGATTGCACCACCGCACTCCAGCCTGGATGACAGTGCAAGACCCTGTCTCAAAAATAATAATAATAATAAAAGATAAATGAAATTAAATTTTATAAAAATAAAGACTTATATAATTTACCTTGGACGTAAAACGGTTAAAAAAAGACTTATATAATTTAAAGATTTTATCATCACTCCCACTTTCAAAATAGAAAATCTTGGGAAAAAGGAAATAAGTAAATGTCTTTTTTTGGCTAATTTGTGTGTTTTTTCTTGTGTGTGTGTGGGTGTGGTGTATACAGTGGAACATGATCTGGATCAGATAGACTACATAGACAGTTGTACCGCAGAGGAAGAAGAGGACGAGGTGAGACAGCCCAAGGTACTGGACGCAGACAGCCTTAGTTCACAGTTCATGGCGTATATTGAACAGCGGCGGATCTCTCATGAGGTAGTACATAGATTTAAGCCTAAATATGTTGCTATCCCATTGTAAAAATAATTCATAATAGTATAAAATTCTATCAGTGATTTGTTGACGTAAGCTTAATTTTTTTCATTATGTTCACTTCTAATTTCAGTACTGAATTTTTCAGATTTATTCAGAAAAATCAGACAGTAGTCTCAAGTAGACTTTAGGATTATTTTTCAAACAAGAAGACCAGAATTTTGCAGAAGGAATAAAAGAAGTCTAAGTACTGTCAGGACTTCGAAGAAAATACAAAGGAAAATACAGTGATGCTTTTCATTGTTGTTTTTATTGCTTTTTCATTTTTACTAACTGATAAATCATAGTTTGATCAGTAATTAATTAACAGTTAAACCAAAAAATCGACTTTTGTGTTAACATGCAACTTAACCGTAGAATTTTTATAATATGCTGAATTATATTGGAGCTTTTGTGCTAAGTCATACAGAATATAAATTGTTTGCTATTAAAATTCTTGGGTATCTCTTAAGTGGAGCATTGAATTGCCTTAGAAAACAAATGTGTATTCAGCCCACTACAGAATCTCTGCCAATTCTCCAACGGTCTCAAATAGAATAGCATTCTTCAGCCTATCTTGTCAGCATAATAAAATGGCTTCACTTTAGTGGATGTGATGTTGATGTCTGGAGTTGGTTTCAGACTCTGAGCAGTGGTTATTTGAGAAACACTTGGGTCCTTTTAAGAGAATGAGGTATTAGCCTTTCAGAAACAGAGAATAACCTCTTTGGTCTGAGAAAGCTAAAAGGAAAAAATAAAAAAGAAATAGAGAATAATCATTTCAAGTAGAACATGTTACAGAGTGATATCATTATTTAATGAGACAGAGTCTCACTCGGTCACCCAGGCTGGAATGCAATGGCGTAATCTCAGCTCACTGTAGCCTCTACCTCCTGGGTTCAAGTGATTCTCCTGCCTCAGACTCCCGAGTAGCTGGGATTACAGGCATGCGCCGTCATGCCTGGCTAATTTTTGTATTTTTAGTTGTGGCAGGATTTCACCATGTTGGCCAGGCTGGTATCAGACTCCTAATCTCAGGTGATCTGCCAGCCTCGGCCTCCCAAAGTGCTGGGATTATAGGTGTGAGCCGCTGTGCCCATCCAATATTACCCTTCTTAAAGAAAAAAGAAAGGACTTTGGTCTTTCTATGTGAACACTTTTGAATACAGTATTTTTTGTTGGCATTCAGAAGACATTTTTGTATTTAAAGTTGGATAAACTTATATAAATCAAAGACCTACAGCCCAGAGATAGTAATGTACCAAATCATTGATGAAACTACTTGTTATTCAGGCTGTGAGTCTCCCTGCTGGAGCAAAGGGCAACTATTTTGCAATAAAATTAAAATTAGCAATGACACATTATAATCCTTCAAGGAATCCATTTTCTTTTCTCTTTGTCTTTCTCTTTGATCATGCTACAGTTACTTAGGTTGTATAAATGGAGTATCTCTACTAACAGTGACAATGCCTATTGTACTATGAAAAATAATACTATTTTTTTAATTCATTATGTTGTCTCTTTTGTAATAATATTTTTTAAATTCTGGCTGCCTGTTAACATTTGGTAGTCTTTATGACTTGTCATAAAGCTTTCATAAAATTTAGCATCTTTGAAAATACGATGAAGCAATGTTATTTTAAATGGTTTAACAACCAGTGAAGAAATACCTTTTTTCTACCTGAATATTATCTAAAAATGGATTATTAAAAACTAACCTATGTGAGATTTTAAACACTATTATTTAATTTTATTATAATACTTGTCACATACATAGACTGTTTGTCTTGAATAGGGTATGATTTTTTTTTTAATTAAGCCAGTATGAAATTTCATGTGCCTCTTAGAATAATTTTAGATAATTGCAGTATCATAAAACTAGGATGGGGCTGGATACAGTGACTCATGCCTGTAATCATAGCACTGTGGCTGAAGCAGGCAGATCACTTGAGGTCAGGAGTTAAGAGACCAGACTGGCCAACATGGTAAAACCCCTTCTCTACTAAAAATACAAAAAAACCCAACTTAGTTGGGCATCATGGTGCCTGCCTGTAATCCCAGCTACTCGGGAGACTGAGGCATGAGAATCGCTTGAACCTGGGCAGCGGATGTTGCAGTGAACCAATCGTGCCACTGCACTGCAGCCTGGATGACAGAGCAAGATTTGGTATTAAAAAAAAAAAAAAAAAAAGGCCGGGCGCGGTGGCTCACGCCTGTAATCCCAGCACTTTGGGAGGCCGAGGCGGGTGGATCACGAGGTCAAGAGATCGAGACCATCCTGGTCAACATGGTGAAACTCCGTCTCTACTAAAAATACAAAAATTAGCTGGGCATGGTGGCATGTGCCTGTAATCCCAGCTACTCAGGAGGCTGAGGCAGGAGAATTGCCTGAACCCAGGAGGCGGAGGTTGCGGTGAGCCGAGATCACGCCTTTGCACTCCAGCCTGGGTAGCAAGAGCGAAACTCCGTCTCAAAAAAACAGAAAGAAAAAACAACCTAGGATGGTAAGGGTAAGTCACTGATATAACGTCCTAGGAGAGACTTTTTTTTTTTAATGGCACAGCTTGGCATGGTGGCTCATTCCTGTAATCTCAGCTACTTGAGAGGCTGAGGTAGGAAGATTGTTTGAGCCCAGCTTGAGCAATATAGTGAGACTCTGTCTCTAAATAAACAGAAATTTCAAAATGGTATATTCACTAAATTAGAAAAATTATTTTCACATTAGAGTTGCATAATTGTAGTTTATTCAATGGGATCTCATGTCCAGACCTTAAGACAGTTGTTAAAGCTTTGGAGTAACTCACAAAAAGTTTCTAGTTACATGGGATATGCCTGTCTCTTGGAGGTAGGTGATAGGTACTTTTATGTTTGATTTGTAGATATCCTTTTTGGAAAAGTTATTTTCTTATTTTTCCCTTGATGAGCCACCATTTTGATGATTATTTTTGGTGTTGAAACAAGATTGTATTACTTCTATAGATTTTCCTTTGATAACCTTTAATCCTCTACCTTCGATTTATAATTTTATTTTTCAGTATGTGGTCTATATTTTAAACCAGTTTCATTTTTCTCAGTAATACTTTTTGAAAATGACCTTTTTCTTTTCAGTTCGTAAATAAATAAAATTGCCAATAATATTTTCCTTTTAAATATGGTATTTTATCATAAATAGAAATTACTTTTTGTTTTATCTTGGTATTTCACCAACACACTCAAGAGTATTTGTATGAGTATGATAAGAGACAATTTGTTGTGATGGATAAAGAAAGAAATGTAATATGCCCAGTGAACTTGCTATTACCAGAAATATTCAAGAGTAACAGAGCTAATGCCAGGGCAAGGTAGATGGGAATTTCTGTCCTAAATGGGAGTCTGTACTGGTGACCTCTTAAGTTCCTTTCCAATTGTAACATCTTATTCAGTACATATTACTGTGCTTGGTCACCTTAATTTATATAATACATTAAGAAGAAAATCTACTTTCTTATAAAATAAATGTTTGTAGATTATGAACATTTTTGTTTATCAAAGCAGCAGTGTAACATATGCTTTAAAACTTAAAGTTTACATTTGGAGAGTCTATTAAAATCTATTTAGTGTAATATACAGATTAAATGACACATGTGAACTGTGTAATCACAGTTTTCTGGATTAACATATTAAATTTATTTATTTCTGTCCTTTGGCCTAGGGTTCACCAATAAAGCCAGTAGCCATTAGGGAATTTCAAAAAACAGAAGATATGAGAAGATATTTACATCAAAACAGGTTTGAAAAACCAATTCTGCCTAAATTGTTTCTGTCTTGATGAGAGCAAAAAGTACTTTTGGTTTTGTGCGGATCTAAGTATAATAAAGATGTTTAGATAGTATATGTCTTAGATAGCTTGTGTTTAGAACTGAGTGACAGTATGCTTTTGTACTCATGCTATAGAAAAGGTAAAAATCGATTTGATTCTAAATTCAGACCATCTAAGTCATTACCTACACGGTTAATTGATGTGAAGATACTTAATAGCAATGAGATTTTGTGGTGATGATGTATGGATTCATGCATAAAGAGAGCTAAAAGAATTTCAGGACCAGGCGTGGTGGCTAACACTTGTAATCTCAACACTTTGGGAGGCCAAGGTGGGAGGCTTGCTTGAGCCCAGGAGATTGAGACCTGTCTGAGCATCATGGATCATGGCAAGACCTGTCATGATCTACCCCTCTACGAAAAAAAAAAAAAAAATAGCCTAGGATGGTGATGCACGCCTCTGGTCTCAGCAACTCAAGAGGCTGAGGTGGGAGGATCGCTTGAGCTGGGAGGTCGAGGTTGCAGTGAACCCAGTTTGCGCCATTGCACCCTGACCTGGGCATCAGCAAGACCCTGTCTCAAAAAAAAAAAAAAAAAGCCGGAACTTCAGTAGTCCTAATTTTTTTAACTTATGTTTTTTACTAGAAAACAGAGAGATAGTCAGAAACAGTGATATGTATCACCAGCCCTGTCTTAATTAATAGGATTTTTCCACTGTACTTGGTGCCTCTCAGAATATTTTGAAAATTAGGCCCAGCGCAGTGGCTCTGGCCAACATGGTGAAACCCCGTCTCTACTAAAAATACAAACGTTAGCCGGGTATGGTGGCATACACCTGTAATTCCAGCTACTTGGGAGGCAGGCAGAAAAATCGCTTGGACCCAGGAGGTGGAGGTTGCAGTGAGCTGAGATCACACCACTGTACTCCAGAGTGGGTGACAGAGTAAGACTCCGTCTCAAAAAAACAAAGAATATTTTGAAAATTAGCTTGATCATTTAGAGCACTGTTTCTCGTTCTTGAATTCCAAAATGTTTCTTGCCATGAACTATTTTGCAGTAGTTGAAAATTTCAGCCTTTAGTTCTTTGCCTTCTGTGTTTCTGAAGTCATAAAACATAGTCTTGATATGCCTATTCTTAAGTGACAGTAAATTTATGTAGTCCTTATACTTGACAAGGTATTCAAGTTAACTTGGGGGACTGAGATATAGATGGAATAAATATGTAGGGAGAAAAAAGAAATCTCATAACTTTGCCATTTATACTCTTACCACTCACTTCATGGAGACTTAGTTAAGTTTTATATGCTTTGAAATTTATTTCAGATGTTTTTTCAGTTTCCATGTGTCCTTATATTGAGAGTATAGTCTTTTGAGATTCCAGTTTTATGCAGGAGTTTCCAGTTACATTCCCCACCCTGAGTGGGCCTGCATTTTATATATCCTGTCCCTCTCACGTCCTGCATCCATTATAGGTGAAGCTCAAGATCTCCAGGATTTAGTAGAAACCCTCAAGGTAAAAGCTAGCTTCTTCACTCAGTTACCTTATATATTAGTTTTCTGTTGCTTATGTTACAAAGTATGCAGTTTAGAACAACAGCTATTTATTATATCACACTTCTGTGGGAGAGAGCCTGGGCAGGCTCCCCTGGGTCTCTACTTAGAGGTCAAAGTCAGGGTATTGGCTGGCCTGGACTCTCATTCGAAGACTATGGAGGAGAATTCACTTTCATGTTCCTAAGTGTTGGCAGAATTCAGTTTGTTGCAGTTACCGGACTGAGGTCCCCATTATTTTCCTGGGTGCCAGCTGGTGGTCATTTTTGGTGTTTAGAATCCACCCACATTCCTTGTTCGTGGCCCTCTCCGTCTTCAAATCGGGAATGACGGGTCAAATCCTCCTTATATTTGGAATCTTTCTTACTTCCCCCTTCTGCCACATGTCATGAATTCTTTTGCTATTCTCTTTTGCTTTTAAGGGCTCTTAATTATATTAGGTCAGACTGGATAATCTCCCCATTTTAAGGTCAGCTGATCAGTAACCTTAATTTCAACTGCAGTTTTTTTTTTTTTTTTTTTTTT